TGGCTCAAGTACTTGGGCACCTGCCACCCACATGGGATGCCGGGATGGAGATCTTGCCTCCTGGTTTTGGTCTGGATCAGGCACAATCGTTGTGGTCATTTAGTGACTGAACCAGCGGATGGAAGATCTCACTCTATCCCTCCCTCTCTGCTTCTCTGCCTTTGAAAAAAATAAAAAAATAATTAGGGTGCCATTTAGTTTGTTGTATGTCATTTTGGAATAAACTCTATCCCATATGCTAAACTGCTTCTTGTGAGGAACACTATCTTAACAGATTCTGTATAAATTTCACTTTCTCTGCAAAACTGCTAATATTTTGCTACCAGAACCCTTAAATTACGAACTTGACACCAAAATGCAGGCATTTCTCTGTATGTTAATTATATCACATACACAAACACCATGCATACTCATTTGTGAAAAATAAAGCTATGAATGCAAACTGAAACTTCACTAACAAAGATCATACTGGTGAATTTAGCAGTTTAATAGTTTAATGTTTGCCAGACGTAACAAATTTATAATACAATACAAAAATTATAAATAGAAGCCTCACTGAATATACTTGAGACAAATTCAGTCCCGTAAAATTACTCTACATTTAAAGCAGCAAACAACCTAAGAATTCACTCTATTTTCAAAAGCAGAAACATTCTATGCAGGGGAAAATAATTATAAAATTTGGACTCTGAGAAAGCAGTTCTCTACTCAGCCCTGTTTCATTTACAAGTTTATGTAATCTGATGTAAGAAGGAAGAAATGGAAAATATTTGCAAAAAATGTGGCTAAAAAGCAGAGCAACCTGAAAATTTATTAGTATTGCTGTTAGTTCTAAAAATAATCTATCATATAATAACAATAACCTTGTCAAATGAGAATATTTTCCAGGCTCAGCTGCTCAGAAGTCTTAAACACAGTCATCAGATTCTAAGGAGTGGCAGGCAAAAAAAAATGAACATAAGTTTATGAGTTCCAATTAGGAGGGACATTAATATCTGCGCTAGACTTTATTCCATATGAAATTTTAACCTGTTTTCTACTTTTCCTCACAAAAATAAAAGCAGATTGACTATTACAAAATTCTGGACTTGTGAAAACTAAAGCAGTGAGGCCTGCCATTACCTGTGTAGTGATGATTTCACAGACCACAAAAATTTCAGGATTGCAACCTTCTACCAGTGTATGTACACACACAGCGATTACAGCACATTTAATAAATGCAGCCTTGAAAGACCAGGAGCTTCCAGAGCAGGTGTGCATGCCTTCAGTTCACTGTTTTATAGCCAAATGACTAAAATCATCATTCAGAATCCTAGAAATGTAGAATCCACCATAGAAATTGGCCATTGCTGAACACAGATTCAAAAGTAGGAATTTAGATTATTCACCTATAAAGTTTATTTTATGTTTCAAGTCCTGTGGCAATTTCTAGGCAACTTCTATGTTATTAAATTTACTTTTTAAGAGTGAAAATGGGGGCCAGCACTGTGGGGTAGTAGATTAAGCCTCTGCCTGCAGTACTGGCAGCCCATATGGTGCCATCCAGCTCCCTGCTAATGCACCTGGGAAAGCAGTGGAAGATAGCCCAACTACTTGGGCCCTTGTACCCATGTGGGAGACCCAGAAGAAGCTCTTGGCTTCGTCCTGGTGCAGCCAACTACTGTGGCTATTTGGAGAGTGAACCAGCATGGAATATTCTCTATCTCCACCCTTCAAATAAATAAATACATCTTTTTAAAAAAAGTGAAAATGTCAGCAGAATTTCTTATTAAACTAGGTGAACTAGAGATTGAGTGGTAGATCCTGCTTGTCTCAGTGATCAGCAATACTTAAGACTCCACAAAGAGCTCCTGAACAGTGGATGCTAACATTATGCCCAGGATTTCCACAGAGGTCCAGCTATAGCTTCTATTTCTTAGAAAGTCCACTGGAATTTGATGGGATTATTCCAACTTGGAATAGAAATACTAGTCCCTGCTGGAAGAGGTGGTTCACAATGACATGCATCTTTGCTTGCTACCCAAATAGGTAAATGGGAACTTTTCTGTTACTGGTAGATACAGTTTTTGAAAAATTAGGTTTACAAGTGAAAATCAAGAGCTAACTAATAATGGAACAGGCTGGAAAGTACTGCTCAAAGATCAATGACAACAAGGAGGATAAAAAGCTATAAATTAAAATAAAAAAAAAAACAAACAAACTAGAAACAAAGTAGACGACGACACCAGGGAGGGTGCCCTATACATACAGCTCAGAGCTTCATCCAACAGGGCTTCCTTAGTTCAAAGCCTCTTACTTTATGGCAACTTAAACTCCAACAGGATGAATCCTAAATCTTTGCAACATTTCCTTCTAGGTCTGATTCTAAAAGCTTCAGAAGCCGTCACAAGTCTAGAGTTAGGTTTGTCACCAGACATCTTAGTTCAGTTACTTCTGATCTTGTCTCCTCCAACAGCCTTCTAACTGGCTTCTCCCTATTCTCACTTTTCTTCAACTCTTGGCAGCTCAGGAGGGACTGCAAAAAACCACCCAACACACAAGTCCAGTCACATTACTACTCTGCTCTAGCAGCTTCTGTGTGTTCTTAGGAAAAAGCTCCAGTGCTCTGAGTAACAAGAGCCACTCTCTCCACTCACTCCGCTTGAGCTACATCGGCTTTTTCATCCTAGTTTCCCCAGAGTTTCTTTTGACGTGAGACCTCTGCACCTGCTCTTCTCCTCCCTAAAATGGCCCCCCTTCCTTCTCTGCCTGGAATCTCTAATTAATCTTTCAGATCTGAGCTTAAAATTGCCTTCCTCAGAGAACTCTGCTTTTCATCAATCTTCTACTCCCTGCACCCCTGTGGCGGCCTACCATTTGCAGAATTCTTTCGGCATTCTTACCATAACTGCAATTAAGTAATCACTTGTTTAATGTCCTTTTCCAATCCTTTACCCCCATGAAGGCATGACTGCGTCTGTCTGTCTTCTTTACTGCTGCTTCCCCAGTGGCAATTACGGGCAAAATCGGTCACTACAGAGAGTATAATTGTGCAATTGGCTCTTGCACAAATGAATAAAAATTAGTCTATCTTACACAAAATCATGACTCTACAACAGATACTAGAACATTAACCTGTCTCTGTGAGAGTGTAACACTTGAAGCAGCTATTGAAGCAGGAGTTTTCACAACCTTTGTTCCCAAGTATCCTAAATCTTCAACTGGAAGGCTAAGCTGGGGACATACAATGATGTTTCTTAAAAACATTCACGGAATTCATCATGCAGCTAAGTTTCCTGGATGGAAACAAACCGAGGATCCCAACCAAAGCCAACTAGCCTTCAAATGAATGAGTCATTACAAGAAATTGTGACTAAAAGGCCACCCAAGAAGTAATAAATTCAAACAGTGCTCTTTTGAATATGGTTTAGCCAATTCTCTTTAGTTCAAATAAAACAAATGTCTGATGGATGGGACGGGACATGCAAAAATATAAGTAAGACTTCAGGAGACAGCTATGAAATGAGGATTTTGCAAAAGAGTTATGACTTTGGAAAGTGTGACTTGTCAGGAAGCTCCAAATTAAGGTGGATACTTCAGAAATATTTGGAAGCTAAAGTTCATCTGAAAATGCAATACAGCCATCTGAAATGTGACACAGAAGTTTACCCAACTGGAATATACTGATTCTCATATCTGAGACCACTATCAATTCTTAAGTTTCTTTCCAGTTTTTGTGGGTGAAAAAGCCCCACAATTTAAGTACCTATCCCTAGCAAGGTTTACTTTCAACCAGAGAGGATATTTGTTTTCCATAAATCTTCAACTCAACAAATAACAAAGAGGGAAAACAGGATAAAAACATAATAATCTGATTTTAAGACTGAGAAACTTCAGGGGAATAAAAAGCAAATTAATTCTTTATTTTCCTTCCCTCACTCATCCATCCAAGACTTTTCAGGAGTAAAATTGAAAGGATGGTAATCTGTTATGTTACTCTGGGTTCTGGAAGCTACCCTATGTGTAAGGAAAATGCATATACATGTGTACAGTCGTTTTGAGATATTCTTCTAATAGCATCGCTTCTTAACCTTTGTCAGGCCACAGAGGACAAAGGATGTCAAGAGATTTCATGCGAGTCTTACATTTATCAAGGGCCCAAGCACTTTGGCCATTCTCCACTGCCCTCCCAGGCATATTCCCGGAACAAAGTAAATTTTGGATTCTGTTCTAGTTAATAGTCTTCTTTCTAATTTTACCCCCTCAGATCCTAAACATTAACAACTTAGAAAATATTTCATATTTATTTTGTGCTATCTCAGCTCTTTCAGGGTACTCGTGGTGATAGGAGGGACTATTCTGAAAAGCACAGTACCATGGTGTATTTTTTAAAATGATTTATTTATTTATTTGAAAGGTAGAGTTAGAGAGGCAGAGGCAGAGAGAGAGGGAGAGAGGGGAGAGAAGTCTTTCATCTGCTGGTTCACTCCCCAAATGGCTACAATGGCCAGAGCTTTCTCTGGGTGTCCCTGGTGGGGAGCAGGGGCCCAAAGACCTGGGCCATCCTCTACTGTTTTCCCAGGCCACAGCAGGGAGCTGGATTGGAAGTGAGCATCTGGGACTCAAACTGGCGCCCATATGGGATGCTAGCACTGCAGGTGGCATGCCACAGCGCCGGCTCCAGTACCACGGTTTTTAACATAGAACCATGAAATGGTAAACTGTGGAAAATAAAGCTCTAAACTGCTACATTTCAATGATTCATAGTTTTTTACAAGTTAGCATTCCAGTCTTATATAAAAAAATCATGACAGTATTTCCAATGCTATGGAAATGAAATTATATGCACTTTATACAAAAGTATACTCTTAATTTTGGGAATTCTGAACTGCACAGAATTTTGTCAAATTTATGTACATCTTATTCACTGGTCAGCCTTTGTGCTGTATTCCAACCTCAGATAACAGGTACTGAAAGAAACATTTTTTTTTTGTTAGCCATTTCTTATGTAGTGAAATTACCTTGTTTATCTACAACCGAATAGGAAGCCAAAAATCCGCGTCCAGAAACATGGATTCCACTCATAAACAGCACTGTAATCTCATTGCTTTTTGATTCAATTGAATGGTTCATTTGCAGCCCCAGACCACAGTATTTGCCTAGGAACAAAAGAAAAGTAGACACTTGGTATGACTCTCATGAAGTCCACAATATTTGCAATGTAGAGAACAAAAGCAGAATAATATGCCAAAGTAGGTATTAGATTACCATAAAATGAGTGGGATTTTTTTTAAGATGTTTAATGTTCAGAAATATTTTCTAGAGAAAATAAATTCTAATAACAATTCAACTGATTCAGAAGAAAAAAAGAACAGTAAATGCATCATTGCCCTTAAGAGGATTCAATATCTTGTGAAACACATATGTACTCTTTAAAAGAATAACTGAGATTTAAATAACAACTTCAAGCATTTCATGCAGGCAGGCAGCTCACAAATGAACTACAACCAATCAATAGCATTCGTAATAAGCTTTCGCCAGGGCACCCTGGATTCCTCACTTCAGAGCACCCCTCAAACATTCTTTTCAGTTTCAGTCAATCCCTTTAGGTGAACATATCTGCTCCCATGGTTTTAACTATGATCTGATAACTCCTACTTCCATACACTTTCCCTTGAATTCCAGCTATATATATATGAGGGGGAGGCAAAATATTCATGGAAAAACGGTTTTAAAAGATAACACAGAGGCTGGCATTGTGGCACAGCAAGCTAAGCCACTGCTTGCGATGCCAGTATCCCATCTCATATTGGAGTGCCAGTTTGAGTCCAGGCGGCTCCACTTCTGATCCAGATCTTTGCTAATGTGTCTGGAAAGGCAGTGGAGAATGCCCAAAGTACTTGGGTGCTTGCCACCCATGTGGGAGACCTGGATGGATTTCTGGGCTCCTGGCTTCACTCTGGACCAGTCCCAGATGTTTCAGCCACTTAGGGAATAAATAAGCAGATGAAGGACTTCCCTCTGTGTCTCTGTCTCTGCCCTCTGTGTTTCAAATAAATCAGTCTTAAAAAAAGATAACAGATATTCTCCATGAGCTTTTTGAAGCCCCCTCATAACTAAGTGCCTGTCTTATATTTTTTCATGTCTAACATATATGTAAAAAGTCACATAGTCTCATTCCAGATCTAAGTATACTAAGATAAAAAGATGACAAAATAATTAAAGTAAGATATCCACCAGTAATAAAAATGGATTTCCACATGGGCTTGTTAACTTGTCTAAAAAACTTAGGACAAAGAGCTCCATTACTTGAATAAGAGTCATGTGGACTTTTATGAACACCACTTTCAAGGGTGGTATTTCATTTTCTGAGTACAAAATCCTTAGGAGTCAAAAAACAAAAAAACAAAAACAAAAAAACAATCCCACCAGAACTATTAAGACAAAGTCATAGGATCAATATATAAACTCAGTTATATTTTCATATGCAACAATCTGAAGAATTTTTAAACTATTCATAACAGCATAACATAAAAATATGGAGATATTTGTAAAATGTTAAAAAAAATCAACACACAGATAAACACAAAACACTCCTGAGAAACATTAATGCTAAAACAGATAGAGATATACCAAGTTAATGAACTGAAAGACCCAATACTGTTAACATGTCAGTCTTTCCTACACTGAATGTATTAATTCAAACCAATCCCTATAAATATCCTGGTGGGCTTTTTCTTTTCTTTTTTTTTTTTTTTAAAGAAATTCACAAGCTGAGCTTAAAATTCATATGGAAATGCAAAGGACACAGAACAGCCCCAAAAGAGTAAAGTAGAAAACTGAGGCTTTATATTACCCAATTTTTAAACTTACTATAAAACTAGAGTAATCAAAACAGTATGGTACTGGTGTAAGGAATATATCTACACCTCTATTTGAATAAGTATGACATGTGGATACGGTCAACTGGATTCTGACAAGGGTGTCAAGCTGCCTCAACAGAGGAAGGATAGTCCCATCAGCAAATACACTAAACCAGCTGTACCTACATATATAAAACCAAATGAATTGAAAACTTTATTCCACAACATATACAAAAGTTAAGTTGACATAGATTATGAGCCTAAATGTAAGAGCTAAGGTTATAAATTCTTATAAGAAAACATGGGACAAAACTTAGTGAGTTTTGCAGACAATATTAACAAAAGGTAAATAGGAAATCTGGCTTCTGAGAATTTACCAAGTTAACGCAGTGTGTCCAGTTCATCAGCCAACCCCAAGAGCGACCCGGGAACTGACTGGATCTCACTGCATTCTGTACTTTACTGCACCTAGCAGATGGTGTGCATCTCATCTGCCCAAAGATACTTGCAGTCTGGGCTGCCAGTTTTACTGCTGGTTTTCCTGAAGCCCTTTTTAGTCTGTGTGAGATTAAATTTTGGGACACTGACATGATAAGAACACACACTGTATGTTTCTGTGCCTGTGAATGCACTCATGTGCTCTCACACCCTTGTTGTATGGTCTTAAAAGTAGCATTATATGGTCCTGTCTCTCAACAATCCTGACAATTTAGGATAAAATGCATAAATAAATGCCTTTTATGGTAATAAAGTGCAGCAATAAATGAAAGCTCGGGATACATTATCTTCTGAATAGCTACAGTTTACTACAGCTAAGTTAGCAAACTATATTTCTACTATGGTAGATACTGTACCTGTTTCACTACTGTATCTCCTGGGAACTAACATGGTACCAAATGAATACTTGCAGAATTAAACTAAGCTTGACAAACCATTCTCTTTTATTGCCAAAATTTTAAAGGACTGCATATTTCTATAATTATGATTTAATCTGATGTCTCAGGGTAGTTAAGTGCTGATAAAGACTTACTCCATGAGTAGTAACCTGACTTGCACATATCCTTGCCTTTCTTCTTAGAAGTCATTTGGGTTATTTAGCACCTTAAATAGAGTGCATTTTCCTGCTCCTAGAGATAATATTTTAAAATGCATATGCATATCAGTAATGTATATATTTTCCATAACAAAATTATTTTCATAATTCTTAGATACTAATTTCTTGACTTTTAAGATATTTTTCTGCAGAAGTGAAACTTTTTAAATAGACTTTTGTAGACATTTTCTAAAATACTGTTTACCTGAATTGTGTTTGCAAAGGATTGATACAGTGTGCTCCCACTCAGAGTATAGAAGTAAGGGCAAATATTTTTGGCATCATGAGCTAAGATCATGGCTAAGATGGAAGATACTTTTCTTTGATAATCTAGAATTTTTTACTCTGCATAATAATTGTTTCTTTTTTATTATTGACTTATATATTTTTGCAAAGCACACAACAGGATTGTCACTGCTGTGTGCAAAATATAAGTATGACCTGTGTACTCAGAACATACCTGGTCTTAAGCTTCCTCTCTGGGCAGGCTTGACAACCTGAGCTATAAGTTGTGTATGGCAACCATACTTTCTACATGGTTTCCTGTATTCCTGAAAAGGTGATTTGCATTCATTTTTACATTTGTTCCTTGGAAGCTTATATTTGTATGTGTGTCATCTTAAAATATTTAAATAAAAAGACTGCTTTCAAGTGGAAAAAAAAAAAGAAAACATGGGACAAAGCCTTTGATTCCAGGGTTAAGCAGATATTTGATTCAATGCCAATAGGATGACCAACTTTTAAAGTAATTTCATCAACACTAAAAAGTTTTTTCTTCAAGACACCATTAAGAAAAGGAAAAGACAAGCCATGGTCTGGGAAATATCTGCAAAATATCTGATAAAGGACTTTATCTAGAATACTCTTGTAACTCAGTCAGACAATATAATTTTTTTAAGGGCAAATAATTTGGGTAAGACAAGGCAATCTATGGCAAGTAAGCACATAAAGATGACAATAGCATTCATTATTAGGGAAATGAGTATTAAAGCTACACTGGGGCCCCGTGCCTTGGTACAGTAGGTTAATCCTCCACCTAAGGTGCCAGCATCCCATACGGGTGCTGGTTCTAGTCCTGGCTGCTCCTCTTCCAATCCAGCTCTCTGCTGTGGCCTGGGAAAGCAGTAGAAGATGGCCCAAGTACTTCGGCCCCTGCACCTGCAAGGGAGACCAGGAAGAAGCACCTGGCTCCTGGCTTCGGATCTGCACAGCTCCGGCCGTTGTGGCCACTTGGGGAGTGAACCAATGGAAGGAAGATCTTTATCTCTCCCCTCACTGTCTATAACTCAATCTTCCAAATAAATAAAATCTTAAAATAAAAGCTACACAGATACCACAACATACCCACTAGAACAATCAAAAGGACAGTACATCAAATATTGGAGATGTGGAGAAATGAAAACCTTCATACTTAATGGTAGGAATATAAATGGTACAGCTGTTTTAGAAAAACATTTTGTAGTTTCTGAAAAAGATAAACGTAAACATAATTTTTAATACAGCCTTGCAACTAACTTCTAGTTATCTATCCAATAGGAAAGACTATACAAAGGTTCACAGGGGACCTGCGATTATCTGCCTCAAAGACACATATTCATCAGTGTATTAAAAAAAGTGGTAAACATCCACGCAAAGGAATACTATTCAATAATAAAATGGAACAAACTACTAATACATGGATGAATTTGAAAAATATTACATAGAGCAAAAGATGACATTTAGATAACATGTACAGAAAATGCAAAAAATTGGACCAGTGTTGTGGCATGGTGGGTTAAAGGGTGCCAGTTAGAGTCCAGCTGCTCCACTTCTCATCCAGCTCCCTGCTAGTGTGCCTGGAAAAGCAGTGGAGAATGGCTAAAGTGGTTGGGCCCCTGCCATGCACATGGGAGATCTGTGTGGAATTCTAGGCTCCAGCAGATGGAGGATCTCTTTCTCTCTCTAACTCTGCCTTTCAAACAAATTTGTTTTAAAAAAGAAGAAAGGACAACAACAACAAAAAATTGTTTTGAAATTTGAAAGTCAACGTTTGAAAGCAAAGAATATTCAGTCTCTAACTTTTCAATTTATTTCACATTTAATAAACACTAAATTCTACAGCATATGTATGTCTTAGGCACAATAGATGTTCAACATGAAATATGTCATGCTCATCCCTTCTTTCAAAAAACACTATTGTGCACAAATAAAAGCTTCCTATTTT